GGGGAAGGTGACAATTCTCCAAGTGTAGCTGCCACTGGTCACGCTGCTTGTTGTCGACGAAGACGTAATGACCACAAAAGGGGCCAGCAAAAACATCGACAGTCGCGTTCCCGCGGTGTTTGTGGTAATGTGGTATCTCTAAGGACGATTAAGTTAACTGCTTTTGCCATGCCCGCAACAGCACGCAACGCCTGCCGCTCTCATATCTGTGTTATGTGTTTTTGCTTTTTACTACTCTGTCAAAGCGCTGCATTTGTTAAAAAATATCTATTACAAGCCTTGACATACCCCAAACAAATTTCCCTTCAAATTTGTACCATAACCATAAAGAGTATCACTAATCACAATTTAGCGCTCTACGACAGCGAGATTATACTGACACCTAAAAATGTTTCTTAAAAAACCAATTTCCTTGGAATATTAAATATTACCACAGTTTTTCTTATGCAGTATATAACAATATTTTTCTTTTCTCCAGAAACAGAAGAGACGGAAGAACAATTACTTTCGCAGTGGTTTACGCTTGTAAACAAGAAAAATGCACTTCTTAGGAGGCAGATGCAGTTAAATATTCTGTGAGAAATAATAAATTACACATCTAATTTAGAGATAATCATTTTTAATTTCTTGAAGTGAACAAGAAAAGGATCTTGAGCGTAAATTTACAATGCTCAATCAGGAGCTCCGCGCTGCTCAATCTGTGGAGGACTGGCGCAAAACCGAAGTACAACGAGAAAAGGAGCGTCTATTGCTAGAGGAATTGGTGACGATCGTTGATAAAAGAGATCAACTAGTGCAGCATTTGCATAACCAAGAAATAGCGTATGTAATTTTACTAAATATGTATCTTGCGCATCATATAATGTTTATCTTGTAGTATTGAGGACGACCAGGAAATAGCACGCGAGCTTGAACAAGTTGACATTACCGGTGGAAAAGAAAAGTGTATTATACAATAAAAACCGTTTGTGTTTTTTTCACGTACTTGACCTTGATTGGAGATTAAACATTAACATAAATATTTATCTTCATATTTATTTGATAAAAAATAAAACAAAGATTCAATAGACCTTTCAATAAATCTTGTAGACTGGAAATTCATAAAAAAAAACGTAATAATTTTCACATCAGAACGTCCGATAGCAAGTGTCAGCAGATCTTAAGACTTATACTACTACTAAAAAAAAAAAAAAAAAAAAAAAAAAAAAAAAACAATTACTATTCGCATTCAATGACCATTTTTGAAACAATGAATTATTTAAACCCATTCAACTTATCTTTTTAAATATATTTTTATACCCTGAACCCATTGAAAATGGAAAATCAGGGTATAATGGCTTTGTTAAAATGTATGTAACAGGCAGAATGAGGCGTGGCAGACCTCACAAAGTATATAAATTCTTGATCAGGGCGACGAGCTGAGTCGATTTAGCCCTGTCCGTCTGTCTGTCACAACGGATGTCGTGTATATCTTTAAAAATCGACTCTATCCCCGATATTTTATTATCGATTAAAAACATCAATCAAGTCAGATGCCACTGTGGCTAATTGTGAATTATTTTTAATTTGTCAAGTATTTTATAAAATATGTAGATCATATGCTGAAAGTTTCAATAAATTCGGTTAAGTCAATCGACGTTAAAAAATAACAAAATGATTGGCCAGTTAACAAACGCACGTGCAGCATACATTCAAACTTCTAGACATTCTTAGAAGCTCATCAGCAGTTTCGTTTAGTTTTGCTAGATGGCACTACATCAATGAATCTGTTTCAGTTTTGCCATTAAAATTTCAGAGTGAAGTGGCGTCGTGATTAGCAGTGAGACGCATTAGCAGACCGCCGCAATTGATGATTATTTTTATACCCTGAACCCATTGAAAATGGGAAATCAGGGTATAAGGTTTTCTGTAAAAGTAGTAGCAGAAGGAATCATCGCAGATCCCATAAAGTATATATATTCTTGATCAGGACGACGAGCTGAGACGATATAGTCCGTCTGTCTGTATGAGTGTGTCGATCTCAGAAGATACAAAAGCTAGAGAGCTGAAATTTGTGTGTATACTCGTGTATACCATACGCAAAAAACGCATTTCCAATACTAGAGACTTGTGCTTTGGAATTTACATACATTTGATCATTATGATTACGTCCCGGAAATTTCATGAAGATTGTATGTCTACAAAAGAAGTTATTCAACAAATAGATTGCACAAAATATTGCACACACTTCAGCGCAGCCCAAGTGAAGTCGCTGCTTACTGCGCAGTTAGCAGAGCGCGGGCTTATGCATGCGTTTGGATGCATGTGTGTATGTGTGTGCATAAAAGAAGTAGAACATTAGCTTGGAGGGCTCAGGGTATATCCTAGTCGAGCAGTTTCGACTAGAGCCTTCTTACTTGTTTTAATTGTTTCCAAATATATACATATTTAATTAAATGAGTTTTCTGTTTCATTTATAATTTTAAATATGTACATCGAAATTGAAATTTTAACCATACTGAATGTGCGTTTTTATTAGTTTGGATCAGGGTAGTATCTAGTCGAGCACTCTCGACTAGAGTTTTCTTACTTGTGCAATATACAAACTAAAATAAATCCCATGTGTACTGTACATTTTTTACACTAATTTTATTTTAGATTTTTCATAGTATATATTTTTGGAAAAATCTGTAGCCTATGAATAAGTATACACTATTTTATGCAGACACGTCTTTTATTTAGTTGTAAAGTTATCTTGACTTACTATATTATTCTGGTTTACTTATATATTCTCGAAACAAATGGTTTTGTAATGGTGTTTGTAACAGCCCGAAGGAAGAAAGGCACATCTCATAAAGTACATTCTGTGCAGTATGCACAGAGTGTAAAGTTGCGTCCATGCGTATATGTATGTGGAGCACACGTGTTGTTTCTAATACATACATACATATGTACGTATGTACATACCAGAAGAGTGATACACGGCTACACTCCCACATACATACAACTCATTCAGATAAGTTAGTGGGCGGCACGCAACATATTGAGTGAGTTTATTTTTGGGCACCCGTGGACCCTTAAACCATACGGTCTTCAATTAAATGACTGAGCATTAATGAGCCATATAAATCATAAATTGGCAAAACAGGCGTCCATTTGCTCATTTTTATGTTTATTTCTTTCGAATAAACTGAACTTGTGCGAAAAATATTCGTTTGTTTTTTGTTTCTATTTTTGATTACCAAATACACACATTAACATATATACAAACAAACAAATAAAGGGAGTGTAGAATAACTGGATTATTTCTCGCTAGCACTTATTGGTTAGGGTGCAAGGTCTGTCAAGGTCAGTTTAGTTGACCCAAACACTTTAAGGTATGAGAGAGTGTTCGTATCAAAACAAGTTTAGATTAAGATATACATATGTATACATGCATCCATATTTATTTTTAAAATTCAATAATAGTATATTACATTATGGCTCGAAGTGGCTTATCAGTTGGCATAATATATAGCTGTTGATAGCAAAGAAAATTGAACTCTGGGTGCCAATCCAATAAAATGTTGGCCATGTTTGAAACTCTAATAAATATCCCGGCAGCAGCCAAAAAGCTTGTCCACAGAGCCAAAGAAAGAGTAGCAATGTACACTTTGCCAATGACAAAGACCTCAAATTTCTTATGCATACTGGAAGCACAGCCAAATACCATATAAAGTACTGTGAAGTAACCACAGAATTATAAGTGACAACAACGAATGCCAAAGTGAAAACACAAAAAGATAGTGTACGCCTAGACCGTCCCAAACTAAAGCTTAAGTAAACGATAAGTAACAACTGAGGTGCTACTATAAGAAATTTTACAGTCGGTGATGATTCTCCAACTCCGTTTTCATTAGTCAAGTATTGTAGTAAGAACTGAAGCGAAAAGTTATGGCGTACATCCTTTCGAAACAAGTGATACAAATATGCCTCGTACATATATTTCCAGCCATATAGAACATAAAAAGTCGAAGTAAAGCTTACTAACCCTATAAGTGTTCCGATTATTAGGTAAATTTGCTGCGCATTCGGAAAGATTTTTTGAAACAGTCCAAGAGGTTTTTTTGATAGGCCGTTCGCCGATATTGCCAAATAGTATGTTAAACTGAATACTATTGGATAGAGCCGTAAGTGTATAACGAATCCATGAACCAGACCTGCACTAAACGCAATCCATAATTTAAGCCCCGAATACTGCGTTCTCATTAGAAGATACACATTTAGTATTACAAAGAATCCTGACAAACTATCGCCATTGCCACGGGTTGATATTACAGCCGTGAGGGGATTGTATAGCCAAAAGCAGGCCGAGTTGCTCGCAGTTTTTGTAGATTCTTTATCTCTGTGTTCTGGATTATGTGAAGATATCTTCATTGACCGTTCGAATTTTATGTGCGAAGGGCTGGGCTCTTTCATTTGTAATTCCAAACGCACTAAGGCATAAATAAGCCATCCGAGTAGTAGATCAAACAGTCCGTAAATTACTTTTCCGATTGCTGGATGTAAAATAACGTTTGGAATTTGCATGTAGGCCAAAATAGGACTGTATCGGTAGGTGTGCCGAGCAAACGGTGTGTCTCCCATCAGCACTAGCCGGGCCCCGTCCGTTGTCACTTTATAGTCAATGTCTGTATATGGAACAGTTGATCTGTTATCGTGTACTTGGGCATAGAAAATAAGTATAAGTCGGAGCACTGCAGAAATTACTAAATGTGATTGAATGCTTAAATTCAATATGTTCTGTCCTTTATCTTGCAGCCATGAGGGCTTCCTATTTTGCTCCGACATGATTATAAAAGTATATTTATAGCTTTGTTTTTAGGTCTTTGGCAGTTTTACGCATACAGTCTAAGAATTCCTTAAACTCGGTTTCGCAAACTTTTTGATGCACATTAATATCCCGAGATACGCACTTCGCATATAGTGACGCTTTTTCTGAACACTTTGTCAACAGTAATGGATAGTTACGTAGTCGGATATTGGCCTTGCGTACAGATTCCATGCCTTAACGTTTATGTGCTGGTATAATACCCTTCGAGGGTAAAGGATCCGCTATGAATGCGTCGTACAGTGGTTTAGAGAAAAAAATAATCAATGATGAGGTCAAAAAGGTAATTTGAAATAGCCGCGGATTGCGCTTTATCCAAGAACGCTTCGGTAAAACAGCAGTTCTCTTGCGTATATTTCTTTGCTCTCTCTTCAAAAAATCTTGAATATCGTTGGGCGGCTTGTATGAAGGTACGGGTGTTGGTGTTGGCATTATTTGTTACTACTAGGAAACATTATATTACTTTCGATTGTCTAGAATATGAAAAGAATTTTTGTACCATACCTGCGTGAAATCTTTGGGTTAATTTCAACTTCTGGATTTTGTAAATAAGACTTTTCCAAATTGATACCACTACAACAAAGTGACTCCTTATGCCACTTGAGGCAGCACAGGCGCATTCGCTCAAGCACTTCACTGCATTTATGTTCTTGAAAGTTATTTTCTGCAAAAACGTTTTAGTTAATTGTATTTATGCATGATGCATATATGTATATAGGTGTAGATTTATATTAAGTCCCCATTGCATAATATTGTGGATCAATTTTGTTACTTACCTACTAAACAAGCTTGTATGGCACAGGCGAAAGGCTTACATGGATCCTTATTAGACTTAACCATCAATTAAAATCAGCTAAATTCAGGGAACAGAGTTGGATAAAATTCTTTCTTAACTACGCAAAGCAAATGTTACTATCTTTAAATGATGTAAACGTTGTCATTCACATGGAATTGTTTAAGAGTTGCCACACCGCCAAAATTTACTTTTTTTGAAATTAGAAGACATTCCTATTTAACAACAAGCAATTTGCAACGTTGCCCAAATATACATAGTACATATTTCTTATAAAGTAAATACAAAAATATTTCAAAACGCAGAATATGATTTTTATATTTTTGATATTAGTTTATAGTACAACAAATTACTGACCAAAAAAAAACTTTGTACTACATGTCTAGTCTATGTGTTCTCTGGTTAGTGGTGTCAGTGAACAAATTTAGTATATAGTATAGTATATTTCTGGGTGAATGCTGAATTAACTCTATTTTATGTGAATTGTTGCCATTCCCAAATACTTCTATTAGGAACTATTTTTGTGTAAAGACAACCAAATAAAAATTGAAGTGAATTAATATAACTTATTATTGTTGTATTCGACGATATTCAACTAAACAGTGTAGCAATGCCATCAAAAAAGAAAAAGTACAATGCACGGTTTCCAGCGGTAAGTTAAAAGATATGTACATATGTATAGAATTTTTAGTAAATGTGCATTTTATGCGTAAAGTTCTGCGTGTAGCATTTTCACATCAATGAGTTTATCAGTTTTATTTGGTGCAAACGCAATATGTGCATTGAAATAATTATGTGACAATTTTTTAAATTGACAGGGTCGCATTAAGAAAATTATGCAGAGTGATGAGGAAATTGGTAAGGTTGCACAGGCGGTACCTGTTATCATATCACGGACTTTGGAGCTATTTGTGGAGTCGCTTTTAACTAAAACTCTGCGTATAACAAATTCACGAAACGCTAAGACCCTTTCGCCATCTCATATGAAACAGTGCATTATGTCTGAACAACGATTCGATTTCTTAAAAGAGCTAGTAAGAAATATACCAGATATCAGTGTCGCCGAAGAAGCTGCGTTTACTTATAATGACGATGATGTACACAGCTCCGAAGAACAATACCCAGACTCAGATACACCATATGATTTAAGTCTGCCGTCGACTTCACTGCGAGCGTTGCCCAATGGAAATAATTCTTACGTGCGCTCTATTAGTTTAAATGGAGGTGGGCAAAAGCGAAACTTCAATCCCTCCACACCCACAGTTATAGTGCAAACAGCACCATCCCTTGCACAGATTCATCAGGCTGGTCATTTGCCCACAAAGTTAGCACGGTCTGAGTCGATGCCTATATACACACCGATTTGTAGGTCCAACGACATCAATGACCACAGTAGTAGACTACCACAAGACACTGCCATAGCTCCACCGATATGCAACTATGATTTGCTCAGCAAACCTATAGTAAAAATCGATTATAGCAACGTCCAAATGACAACGACGACATTATGCCCGTCAGGCGATGATAATGGCAGTACATCAACTGCCATGTTAAATCTTAATATTGTACCTCCAGTTATAAACATTGATCTTACAAATATTGTGACAACTGGTGCGCTTCCCACTCCAACGAAGATTAGCTATGGAAAAATGTCGGCGGATAAAACCAACATAAACGGAAATAATAACAATTCAATCACTAAATTTGGATCATCCGTCAATTATATCGCTGAAAAGATCAAAACTCCAAACATTCCAAAGGCCACTTCGGCATCAGCGCCGATAAGCGAATCGCTATTCGAATTAGATGAAGACTATGACAACATTTAAGTATAAATTTTATAAATGCGCTTTTAAATTATTACAATAATATGTACTTTAGGTTTAAGTAAGCAATAATTTTAACGAATAAAGACAATGTTGGATTTTAAGATTTTTGGATTTTTGAATTCATTTATATAATCACCTACATAAAAAATGAAGCTACATACAAATGAAATTAAAAAAAAACAGACTATTCAATTTTGTTCCTTACCTACGAAGACTTGGGCTAAGCGACCAATTTTCGAGAGAGTACCTTTGTATCAGCAATATAATATTGAACAGCTTCGATGTTGAAGTCCCACCATTCTGAATTTCATTTGAATTCCCTTTGGATGGGCTCAGGTAATACACTATTTATTTTTAATATAGTAAACCAAGGCTTCCTCTGCCGACTTCTACATTTTCAGAAAACTGTGATCTGCATAAGAATCGTGTGAAGAAACATTAAGTATCACAGAACTCAATAAATATCAATTTAAATATATATTTTCTGAAATACTGCGCATTTAATATTTTAAGGATAAAAAGTCCCCTAGGAGCAAATTTTTTTAACACAGGGTTTCTATCAGAATTTTTTAAAACTAAAATTCGTGTACAAAAGTTAGGCAATAAAAACACATTATTACTTATATTACCGAGGCACTTTGGATGCTTCTTATATCATTACAGATGTGAAATAAAAATAAATGTTCAGTAATTATTGCTACTAAAACTAGCTATTAACAAAAAGCAATGTATAATAAACCAAACATTATTTGGTCTAAAAACTGTATTCTTGGTAGTTACCTCGCACAATTAATGTATGTATGTTATGAATTTTGGCACGCGGAATAGGTAATGTGTGTGTTTTATTTTCGTTTTTTATATTATTAATTAGACTTAACTTTAATCTATATGAGTAATTTTATTATTAGTTTTCATTGTGGAAATCGTAGACAATTCTTGACGTACACTACTAATAAATGTCGTTCGGAAAATAAAACTTAACGAGATCGATATTTATAATGATTATAGCTTTACATCTTACACAAGTTAATCATTATGCACCAAGGTTAACACTAAGAAAATAAATATTAATTATCAAATGGCCTTCTTCATAAAAAATAAATTTTAATATTTACAATTTGTGTACAGAAATAATGTAGGCATAATGTCGACGCATTGTTCGTCTCTACTAGTAAAAATTAAAACTTAAATCTTTATATATAAGACTCGAAATGTTACGTAAATCCACGACTTGGCGATTGCACTGGTGATGGGGGAGGCGGTAGTGGTGAAAAATACGTAGAACTGCGCGATGATGGCGATGGTGGACATGAAGACTCCGGCACAATGCGAACATCGCTATGATAATGCGAACGTGGAGTCGGTGGCGGCGGATATGGCTCGCTGTCATAGCCAAACTGAAGGCAGGCGGCAGCCGAAGTAGATGGCAATTTAGTGGTGCCCCCATTACTGTTATTGCTATTTGATTTACAAGTATAGTTTGAGTCTGATTCGTCACATATATCCGTTGAGCACGGTGTGGGCGGTGGAGGCTGATTAATGATCTTGTAGTGCCTGTAAGGACGACGCGAACGCGTTGCGGGTGAAGGTGGTGGATTGATTGGATACGCCACCATGCTGCTTCCATTAGTCGTTGAACTTGAGGCGCCTGTTATGTGATTGCGATCATACGAGTTCATACTGTTTCTTGAGTTCAGTGTCGACATGCGTACCGCGTCAGCTACGGAGGCAATTTTCGAAACTCTTTGTGATTTAGTCAGTGTCGAGGGCGACAGAGGATCTGAGGCCTGATCATCCTTGGGCTCTGTGCGGCTTTTGCCTAAACGTGTTCGACAAAATTGTAGCAGATAAACAATTGAAAATATTATTATCATTGTGGCTCCAATTAAAATCATAAAAATGCGTTTATCAGATGCTGGTGCCATACGTCGCTGTAGACATATATCCACAGATTCATCAGCTCCATCAGCACAGTTTTCCCAGCCATCACAAAGTAGGGCAGCCGAGATGCAAAGCTACAAAAAAATATAACTGAATTGTTAATATTCGATTTGTACAATATTGCTCCTAACTCATTTTCGTTCGAGAAAACGGCACTCATTTACTTACCTTATTTATGGGACATTGAAATTCACCAGGTCGCTTGCAGCAGTCTGCTTCATCATGGCCATTGGCACAGTTGGTAGTTCCATCGCACACAAGTGATTTATCAATACATTCTCCAGACTGACAGCTAAACTGATCCGCTCTGCAAGAAGGACATCCAATTTCGTCTGACTTGTCAGGACAATCTTTTTGGCCGTCACATCGCCATGACGCTGGTATGCAATCTTTGTTCATATCACTATTTCCTGCAACAGGTGCTGCACAGGTAAAGTGACCAGGTCCACAGGCAGGCAAAGCGCCACAGTTTTCCCTGTCCTCGAGCAACATTAAATGCTTGGGACAGGAACAAATATCGCGTGGGTGATCCACCTCCTCGTCGTTTGCTATGCAAATATGTGAGCACTTGGTATGACCATGTAGGCAGGTATGATTACGAAATAGTTTTACGTCCGGAGTCCACACAGCTCGGATATCCGTAATTTGTGGTAGTCGCTGAAGCTCTGCTGAGCGATGTTCTCCCGTCACTGTAATTCGTTCCACTCCAGTTTTGTCATCCAACCAGTAGACAAATCCATCTAGCGCCGCAATGTTGATAACCTGTGAGATGTGCATGGACACAAGTGTTTTTCTAGGAGTAATAGAATAAGTTAGGGAATGGCTATATCCATGATGCCTTGCTTTGCAGACTCGGTTCTACATCGTATGTACATAAGTTTTAATGTCTAATCAGATTTATACTGTTCACTTACACGTTCTTCCCATTGATATCCATTGCATCAATTCGCTTTCCATGTGCATAATAAATCATATCAGACTGTGCATCCAAGGCAATTGTTGTAACACCCTCAAGCTTGTAAGCCAATTCCATGCGCTCATTGCCATCTACACGAGCTCTTATAATAGCTTGATGACTACCCACATCCGACCAAAATATCAACCTCTTTACAGAATGTACAGCAATGTTCCGTGGCTTTTCTGAATCCCCGGTGTCAATTACACCAATTGACTCTCCAAGAAAGCTAAATGTTCACAGTTAGGTTTTTAAATAATATTGCAAACATTAAGTTTTAATTTATTTATTTGATATTATTATTTTTCTAAATTTAAATACCTGGTTACATTGATACTGTTTGAGTAGGAGCACGTCCAGAAGAGTAATCGACCAATAATGTCTACAGCAATGTCGAATGGTTGCCCGGAATTGACCAGCACAGTTGTTTTGGTACCATTTGCCAAAGACCTTTTAATGCTGTGACTGCGTCCCTCG